CAGCTCAGGGCTCTGACGACCAGCTCAGGGCTCTGACGGCCAGCTCAGGGCTCTGACGGCCAGCTCAGGGACCACTGAAAGCGAGCGTGGCTTATCCCTGGCTCAATCTCAGGTCCTGCATTTCAGACTGGAGCTGTTCTCAGATATGGTGCTCCCACCTGGGGACTCCAGGGCCCAGGGAGGGAAAGGTGGCATCTGAGTGGCAGGCCCTGCTTCAAGACCGCCCCACAAATCCCACCTCCAGGGCACCAGTTAGGAGCCGGCCGCATGCCCGCCCTTCTCGACTAAGCAGAGCAGGTCGACGGTTGTGGATGGACAAACAGCCTCCCTACTCTTAGAGATCCTGAGAAAAACGTACATTTCGAGCCGTGTATTTTGTTATGTTGGGAACAAATACGAAAAGGCACTTTAATCACTCACTCCAGGAAAATTGAGCAGTTTATCCAAAATATATTGAGAGAAAACTCTGGTATGACAGTTCCCACATTAAGAGCCATTTTAGGGTAGCTAAAATAGTAGAAAGAAATCTGTCTGAAAACATGGAAAACTTGGTGGGAAAACAATAAAAAAGAAATACCAACTCTAAAGAAATGCGTTTGAGAAAATTATGTGCCTAAACAGCGTATGAAAAGTCCCCTCTTTCTCTTTTATTTATACCCTCTCATCGTCATCTTCTTTTGCACATCTTATTTTTGAAGTTTAAAAGGAATCTTCTGGGTCTCCTATTACAATTTAAAGGAAAAAAAAAAAAAAACCCTCATAATGAAAAAAGTCCATTTCAGCCAGAGAAGCGTTCAGGTTTGAGGAATTATTTCCGTCACTGGAGGAGTTAAACACTGTTTCTGCCTTCAGAGCTGGTGATGGTACAATTTCCGTCACCCATGGGGACGCGAAAGCTGAGGCCTGCGAGCCACGAGGTTAAACTCAGGGGCTCTGAGTTCGTACAGAGACCGAGGCTGCTCCAGCACGCACCTTCAACACCGTTTTTACCCTCTGCTTTCTCCAAAATCAGTGTCCCCCTGACTTCTTCCCATTCCTAGACGTCGCAGATCCCACTAGTCCCTCCTCACAGTTCAAATCCTGCCTCAGTGGCTTGAAAAATCACGCTGGCACAGGTGTGTGTATGCTTGTGTGTCTGTGCCCTAAATACGAACAGGATGGAGAAATGGCCAAGAAAGGATTGAGGGTGATCCCCCATCTGTCTCTGGCAAGCGCAAGGCCCCTCTGGCCCACAGAAAAGGAAGAAGTATGCTGTGTACTCTGACCGCCACACATGCTCCATCTCCTTACTGGAAATCCTGCTTTGAAGAAGTCTCTCATTGTTGGGAACCAGCAGTTAGCTTAATGGCTATGTCGCTGGACTCCCACATAGTAGACCGCGGTTCGAGTCCTGGACCTGGCAGCTTAAACTCACGCCAGGTGCGTGTGTGTGCATGCCCAAGATCCCAAGAGGAGCATGGAGGAGAAGGGATTGCGGCGTGGCCATCCCCCCTGGGGGGTGATTTCTCGCTTTCTGTCTCTCTGTCTCTGTCTGTCTGTCTGGTGAGTGCACGCGCCCTATAGCGAAAACCTCTCCAAAAAAAGAAAAAAAAAAGTCTCTCATTGTTCAGAAACTGTGCCCTGGTCTCAGAAGTGTTACACCTGGGATCATGTGCCACGGAAGCCTTCCTGCCACCACCACCGCTCAGCTCCACGGACAGGGAAACATCTGTGGAAAAGCTCGTTTCTGCAGACGTGGAAGGGCGAGGACTAGCGACGTCCCTAAAACCTCCTCAGGGCCCATGACACATGAAGACAGGCTAAAGCAAGAGCCAGCCATCGCTAGAGAAGGCTGCTTTCCCTTCCACGGCACACGGGAGTGTGTCGCGGGTGGAGGCTCCCCTTGTTCACACGAGGGCCGTTCAGTGCATGAGCTCCCTGCTGACTCGGCTTTATCACTGTGAGCTTGTTCTTAGTAGCTACAAGGGTTTTCTTTTCCTGTCTTTTCTTGGTGTTTTGGTCTTTTCTTTCTTTCTTTTTCTTCCTTTCTTTCTGCTTTCTTTCTTTTAATCTTATTATGAAAAATGGCAACTAAGTTAAAGAAACTAAATAAACATTAGAAGATGAACGTGTGTTTTTTACTCAAATATTTTAGTGTATTTTCTGCTAGTATCTTGTTAGATGGTTGTAATCACCTGGTACCTTAATATTCGACCCAAAGTTTTCATCTAGTAATATATTAATTAACCTTCATGGTTCTACACTTCGTTTTTTAAAAAAATATTTATTTCTTCCATGAGCAAGAAAGACAGGCACTGACAGATAGGCATGTAGCACCCCCTCAAAGGTCCTGATCCAGCCCAGCTTCAGCCAGTGCAGTCTGGTCTACACAGGGCCAGAGTGCTCGAGAGGTCTCAGGACACAAACCTGGAACCTTCCCGTGAGGGTGAGCAGAATGTTCCATTTTACTGCTGTGCTACCACCCAGCTCCTTGCACTTTGTCTTCTTCTTCTATTTTTTTTAGAGAGAGATTTTTGCTGTAGGGTGCATGCACTCATCAGAAAGACAGAGAAGGACAGAGAGACAGAAAGATAGAAATCACACACACCCCCAGGGGGGAATGGCCACACCACAATCCCTTCTTCTCCATTTTTGTCTTGGGATTTGGGGCGTGCATGCACATGTATCCAACATGAATTTTAAGTTGCAGTGTCTGGGACTTGCATGCACATGTATCCAACATGAGTTTTAAGTTGCAGTGTCTGGGACTGAACTGGTGCTGACTAGATGGGAGTCCTGTGATGTAACCATTATGCCATCTGCTGGTTCCTCCCTTTGCACTTTTAAATGACTATATAATAGCTCATCAAGTCTAAGTCTCTAAATGTATTTCATCAAATTTTCAACGATTGTACCAGGGGACATCAAAAAATTCACAGAAAAAATAAGCATGTTTATTCTGGCTCAAAAAATTTTTAAATCCATGAATACACTTCTCATGAATTGCTTTGAGGACCCTTTATATATTTTTAACTTACTGTTGTTATAAATAATTTTATAATAAACATTTTTATGACTAAGTATTTTAAATATTTTAGATTATTTCCAGAAGGTGGCACCCAAGAAAAGAAGGGTGCTATGACATGCAAACATCGTGAATATAGACTTCTAGTGCCAGATGGCTTTCCATTGTCGGGCACGAAATGCCTGCTTACAGTCAATAGCTTGTGCCTGCTTTCTAATTCAAGCTATTTCTACCAAGTCATTTTTAAAGTATTTTATCCAATGTCTTCAGTCAGCCAGCACTCTTTACTGTCTGCTAAGGCGGGCAGAATGCTGCATTGGACAAGGCAAGGGACTATGGGTAGAACACTGTCCCCGGCTACCTCATCGCTCTCAGAGCGAGCAACTCACAGACCCTGCCCGGGTGTGCCACTGCTGGCAAGGCGAGAGGCTGACGATGAAAGAAAATGCTCTCCCACGCTCTGCAGGCGTTTTTCTGCTCAGATCACACCTCCCCTTCGCATCCGAATGGACCCTTAGAGAGCCAGTTGACCCCTGTTCTGGAGCGCAGTATAATCTGCCAACAAGTTCGGATGCCACACCAACAGAAAACCTGGGGAGGCCTGGGGATAGAAAATGAATTTAGACAATGTTGAGCTTTTTATTTAAAAAAAGGAAAATTTAGCGAGATTTTTATTACAGGGC